GCTGCCTTCTGGCAGGCAGCAACAGGCAGATTCTGAGAACCATTTTTCTTGACTTCAGGTGTTTTATCACTTCTAACTGGATGTTTTCTAATTATGATATGGATTAATATTTGGGGACTCGTTTGTTTTTCAATAAATTCACTTGAAATTTAATTTCCACTTTATGCAGGGCACTGGAACTGATATTTATCCTCCATGGAAGTGATTGCAAAGCTATGTTTTTCAAGTCTAGAACCTCACTGGAGTATTTTTTCATCTTTTTTTTTTTTTTTTTGTTCTGACTGGCATGGCAAGACATCTAGTGTGGGTTGGTTTTTTTCTCCCCAGTGAGGATGGATGGAAGAGGAAAAGGTATCAGTAAGATGTAAATGTAAAACTACCTATTGATTAGAAACATGCCTAAAGGAAGAGTGAAGATTCCCACAGTGGTGATCTTTGGGATGAGCCATGTGTTTATGCGATCCATGATGAAAAAGAAACACTGACTCCCATGGAAAGAATCGTTTTCCTTCTAGATTGAGCTTTTACAGCAGTTTTTTGGAAAGCGCATCTGTGAGTGCAAGTTTCAGAGCATTGGGTGACAAGGATTTTTGCCCCACTTTTGTCCCTGGCAGCTCCCCCCAGCCTTGCAGTGCAGGCAGGAGCCGAAATTCGGTGAAAGGGCTTTGTTGTGGCTGATGTGGTTGCCAGAAAGGTGCCCTGCATGTGCCGTGGCCTCTAGCCTGCCTTTGCAGTGTAGCACACAGAGCCATGGCAGAGTTGCCCTGGGAGGTGGGCTGTACAGGAGCACATGGGTTTAGACATGTCCTGGTGTGATCTGGTTTTCATCTGAGGTGACACTTCTCCAGGAGGGCTGCCTCTCATGGTCTTGTCCTGAGGGCTGGGGGAGCCTTGCCATTTGCTTCAGGGGCCTTGCCCCGTGCCAGAAGGCAACTGAGATGCCAATCTCTCATTCCTTGCTCGGAGATCCCCTGCACCACAGGCCTTTGAGTGGAATCTGCTGCCTCTACTGCTGCCTGCACACAGTGTCCTGATGCCCCCAGGCTTGCCCATCCATGCTTGCTCCTCATGCAATGCCAGCACGGGGCTGGGAAGCTGCTGCTGGGGCCAGAGCATCATCACCCATCCGAGCCCCAGCAGCCATGGCTGCAGCACTGACACGCACCAGGGAATTTTTCCTTTTTTCTTTCATTGCAAGAAAATACAAAAATTTCCTCCAACAAATCTGCCTGTCACCTGCATCAGCACTTCTCCATATGATTGTTTCAACGGTTTCTCCCATCCTGGCTGCCTGCTGACCCCAGGGATGTCGTGGGAGCCAGGCCAGCATTCCCAAATCCTCAGGGGCTCAGTGTTTAAATCTGTACCTGATTGTTCACAAACAAGCCTAAGGAAGGACTAGCCACATTCTAGCAGCTGTAAGGTGAATTTTCTGGACATAGGCAAACAAAGAGGGGCTGCTGCTCAGGGATGGTTTCACCGCAAGTGGCCACAGCTCCTTTTCCACGTCGGTTTCGTGTCAGAGCATCAAACCCTGCAGCTCTTCCAACACGCAGCAGCCTGTGCAGCCTTTCACTGACATGTGCTGCCAAAGGCTCTGGCCACATCTCCGCAGCATCCCTCAGGATCATGCAACCAAAGGCCTCCCTAATCCCACATCTGAACAGAGAAGCATGGAAAAAACCACATTTTTGAAGACCCTGGCATATTTGTTTGTCCCTGAGTCCATACTGTAGTTTCCCCCTACGCAAGTAAAGAAAAGAAAGTAAGACATGTCCTAGGCATTCAAGCAGGACACCCGCCCCCCTGCCAGCCAGCACTGTGTTTGCTTCACCTTCCCGTTGGAAACATCGCACAGCTAGTCACAAATTAAAAATACTGGGTCCAAAAAAAATCTCAACAACAAACCCTTAAAAAACTAAAACCCACACCCCAAAACAACCTACCGAACACCCACACCATGTTGTGAAGTATCTACACATGCACACATGTGCACACAGAAAAAGTTCTCAGTTTTTAAGCACCTTTCATTTGTTTCAAGATTCAAGGAGATTTATAACCTCAGTTTTCTTGCTCAGTTTTGTAACCTCAAGGGGTTTTCTTGCTCTGGCAACACACGCAGGAGATTTGGTATCAAGCTGGGTCTTGTGCTTGCTGTTGGGCAGGAGAGGAGCATTGTAGGGCTTCTGCAAAGCAGTTTGAACACGCCTTTCCCGCAGCATAAGAAGGGTTGTCACACCGGTGGATCAACAGTCACATCGCAGGAGGTTAGTAGGTGATTATTAGATGTTAATAGATGAGCAAGTGTACAAACAACCGAGGGGGCATGGCAGGAGCCTGCATATGCTGTGGTAAGTGCGCTCCATTGACACGCAGGATGCTAGGACTCTGGATTAGCCTCTTCATGAAAACATCATTAATAATTTATTGAGCTGTTATAAACATATTCTTGATATGAAGTGTGATAATAGTTCTGCTTCATGTCCTGTGCTGGCTGGGCACAGTGTTAATGAAAGATGTCTCAGACTGGCACAGAGAGAAAAAAGGAAAACAGTTTGCATTCACTTCTGAAAACCAGGACGGAATAACAGCATCAGCCATTTGAAATGGGTGCTGGGTGCTGGCTGTTGGCAGCCATGACTGCACTGAGCCCCCGGGGAGCATGGCCAAGGGTTTCTGCCTTGTGATGGATGAGCAGGACGCAGAGGATTTCAGTGAGGGTTTTCTCCTACTGGGGGCTGTTTGCAAGCAGACTGGTGGGCATGGGAAGGCCTGGCTGGCAAGCCACGGCAGGATCCGCCCTGGGATGCCATCCCTGGCCAGTTTGCTGCCTTCCCGTCACCCCCAGGGAGCTGCAGAGGGGTGATGCGGTCACAGCCAGCCTCTGATTTCAGGAGGGATGGGCAGCATTGCGGAAGCACGGGAGAATTTACAATGAAGAACAGGCTGGGAGGCAGGACGTTGCTTGGCTTGTCCACTTCTTGATGTATATTTGGGCTAGAGAGAGGATGCTTCCTCTACTGCTGCTGCCCGGTGGCCACAGAGCTTATCACCCAGCGACATGGCCGAGAGAACATGGGGAAGGCAGCGCCTCATCGGACACCCACAGAACACCTGAGAGCTCGGGCTCAGCCCCTGCTTGTTGTCACATGCACCTGTGCCAGCAGCCCTACAGATGCTCCCAGTTCACACCAGGCATCACTTCAGAGGGAAACAAAAGGCATTTAATGGGAAGCCCAGGAAGCCAAAGGATGTAAACATTCCCCTCCAGTCAAGGAGTTGTCAGCCTCATCACCAAGAGGACATCAGAGATGAAACTGGGCAATCTCCAGTGTGATTTTAGGTTTGGTGGCAAGGCCCGAGGAGTGGCAGGAGATGCCAAGGGCCGGGACATAACGCCCAGTCCCCCAGCTTGCTCTTTCTTGGCTGATAAACCACCAGCCATGAAAAAATCAGCTCCAGTGCCAGCGTGCTTACCAGAAAAGCTGAAAAAGCAGTGGACCAAACCGGTGTGGTGGGTGCAGAATAGGGCCCAGCACCTCGACAGCGCCACGCTCGCCGCAGCAGGCACCAGCTGCTGCAGCCAGAGGGGCAGGAGGCATCACATCACTCATATGATGAGGGCACTGGGTCTCAGGAGGACTTGAAACAAGAAACTGGCCTGGAAGAATTGAAAGGGAAAGGCTGAAAAGAGAGATTTGAAAGCGTTTTTTCTTTTTTTCTGTGCTTTTGGGAATGCCATGTCATCGGAGTGAAAGATAAACAGTGCAGGTTAGCATCATCAGCCAGCTCTCCCACGGTCCAGGCTCCCAGGCATAGAGCTGGGGGCTGGTGCTTATAAGAGGGTTCATTTTTTTAAAAATCTCATTAAAACAATTAATAAATAGCAGCTGTCTGAGGTTAGGCTTACCACAATTCCTTCAACCTAGGTCCCAAGCTGATATTAAGGGATGTAACATGGTGAATGGAAGAAACTCCTGTGAAATCAGCATTCTGGGTGTGCATGAGGGGGTATTTCTTGTCTCAGAGGGTGGGAATCCAGGCTGTGAGCTGGCCATGAGCAGGATGTGATGGCCAGACCTTCTGGGGGGCACAGGGTGTAAAACCAGTCCCTAAAGGGAGGGAGCTGGGGGGAATCTCCAAATTTCTGCTGGGTTTGGAGCCATCTCAGCTGGTGCTAGAGCCAGTGAAAAGTCTGGACCATGTCTTTTGAAAGGCAGAATGAGTCTGTCACAGGGAGGGGAGGGATTTGCATTGAGAATCAGCATTGCCCACAACAGAATTTGGCCCTTCACAGGAAAGGATGTAATTTTTTGTGGGGGAAGAAGGCATTCCCATTACAGCTCCACTGCAGCGATCCTCTCATCCAGCCCTCCTGCCCAGGCCTGCTCCATCCTGTCCCTTTGCAGCCACTCCCAGGTCCATTTTTGCCCTTACTTTGACCTCTTCCCTCCAGCCTCCTCTTCAGCATCCCTTCATCACCAGCTTTGACGTGCTTTTGCCACCTCAGGGAAGCTCTGCAGGTCTCTGCCTCTGCTCCCCTCCCAGGGATTAACACCAGGCAGCCAACACTCCTTGGCTTAAACGGTGCCTCTTAAAAATATATAGGTATTTGGAGAAATATCTCCACACACACATACATGTACATAGGTGTGGCTTGGGCAGATGAGTGCCTCCAGGAGGAGGGGGCTCGCTCAGACGAGGCAGCAGCTCAGCGGGACCATGAGTCACAGCGATGCTACTGCCGGCCACGGGCTGGCCACCTCCTCCCAGTGCGGCAGCCACAGCTCCGGCGAGGTGCTGGGACAGTGCTTTGTTTCCTGAGATCACTTTTAAGGTTGTCTTTAAAAAAATCCATGAGGCACCGCGAGCTGCCTGGCTGACCCTGCCATGAAGATTTCTACCAGCTCTTGCCCATGGCAAGCCCTTTTGGGATCAGCAGTGGGGTTTTTGTCTTATCATGGTAAAATGTAGTTAAGAAATGAAGGGGGGGGGGGGAGATTTTCCTAAAAATCCCAAATCTTGTTGCTTTGTTATTCTTTTCACTTGCGCTTGGTGCCTCTGCTTATGACATCCCAGTCTGGCTATGCCTGGAGTCATGACATCATGAAGAAAGGCACTGATGTCACAGGCTTGTCAAGACAAACAGGCTTCGCCGTGGATTTCAGAAATGGGTGATTTCACCAGGAATACCGATTGCCCATGTGAAGGCTGGCATGGCTGCAAGAGTGGAGCGGGTGGCACAGCCCTCCGTGCTGGCGGTGCCGGGGGCTGCTGGCCCGGCTGGTGCTGGGGGCCAAGGGCGAGGGGAGCAGCAGAGGGTGGGGGGAGGAAGACGAGGAGTGGGGGCGCCAGGCGTGCAGGCCTGTGGGGGTGAGTGGAGTGAAACCACAGCCTGGCATCACTGGTGTTCGTTGGGGCCGACGCTCCCCGGGGCGGCTGGTGTCGGGCAGGGTGTGAAGTCTCCTTCCACTGGGGGTGGTGGTGGCAGGGAGCGGCGGCGCAGGTGTCCCGGTGAGGTCAGTAGTTGCAGTGGCGCTGGCAGGGCTGGTGGACGAAGGTCCCAGCGTGCTGCTTGGCCCGGCGCAGTGGGCGCTGGCGGGCCCGGTTCTGCCGCTGCAGTGCCTTCTGGCTGAGCCAGGGCTTCTCTGCCAGCTGCTTGGCCCGCTGCACCCGCCGGGCCTGCCCGACCTTCTCCAGGATGGCAGCCTTCACCGAGAGGGACCTGCTGTGGTGTGGCATGTGCCGCTCCAGCCGCGGCTCCGGCACCTCCCTGCAGAGAAAGGAACCATCAGTGGCTGCTGGCTCCTGGCCCTCACCCATCCTGGCAAGAAGGGGATGGGGGTCTCCAACACCCTCACCATTACACTGTGCCCCCAGGATGGACCCAGCCCCCTCCCACCCTGGTGTCCTGCCGAGGGCTGGGGAGGCTCCAGCACAGGTGGGCTCTAGGACACCAGGGATAAATCCAGACACCACCAGGAATAGGGCCATCCCACAGTTTCCCACCGTGGCTAAGTGCCTTGCACCCAGCGGAGGGAAGTCAAGCCCAGCCCCATTTCCATCCTGCTTATGACTCATTTGGTTTCCTGGCCCATTTCTAGCTCCCTTTGGCCCCCTTTCTGCACCCCCCAGCACTGAGGTTCCTCTGAAGCTCTAGAGATCAATCCGTGGCCCTCAGGATCACTCCACAAAGAGAGAAGTCCTGGAGGACCAGTGTCCCCTAGCCTGGGTGGATGTTCACCCAAAATTTTCCTCCTCCCTTGCCCCAGTGAGAGGCTCATGGGGGAGATGCTGGAGGTCTGGGACCAGGGGGCAGTGGGGACCCCCTGGCATAGTGGGACCCAGGGGCTGGCCAGCAGTGGCAGGGCTGAGTGTGTACATGGTCAGGGCTTTCCCGGTGCTGCAGGGCAGTGGAGGGCAGCCATGGAGAGAGGGCAGAGCGCCCCAGGAGCTGCAGCAAGGCTGTGGCCCTGGGGAAGGACGACAGGGGGCTTCAGCCCACAGCTCCTGGGGGAGGACAGTGGGGCCATTTGGAGGCCCCCAGCTAAGCTGGACTTTGGGGCAGAGAGCAATGTCTGCATCCATGGCTGGTGGTGTCCTGCTCCCCCATGGCTGCACTGGCCAGTACAGAGCCAGGAGGGTGATCAGGGGACTGCAGCAATCTCCTGCCTGGGGGAGCCGGGAGTCTTGGGAGGTGACCACTATGCCCAAAGGCCATCTTATCCTGTTGGGTTTGCTTTGCTTGTGCCATACCTGTGCAAAACCCCGTGGTTAAGCTTAGCCTGGCAAACCCCCCTGGATGGGCAGTGGGGTGACAGGTGGCATTGGCACAGGTGGCCACACCAGCAGATTCTGCTTGTGGCAGGGGAGGGGGATGCAGCCCTCTCCCACTGCAATCCAGCAGCAAGCTCATGGTCCTGCACCCACACCCATCTCAGCATGGCACTGGGATCCCCTTAGCAGAGTATTTTGGGACACAGAGGCTCCCATCCTTGCACAGCACCAGTTGGGGCACCCCACCAGGTGTGCAGGGTGCTCTCTTGAGGTGGGACGTGGAGACACTGAGGACCCCCCCAGGCCCACTCCACCCATGAGCAGTAGGAGTGAAATGCTCCCAGCACACACAGTGATTTGGGGTGTTGGGGCTGACCGTCCACTCCAGTGCCCTAGCGCGTGGTGAGGCCGGCAGCCCCCAGTGAGCACCCTCGAGCCACACTCACCCAGCAGCATCATCCTCGGGGCCCTCCCCGTCCACCTCGAGGGTGCTGGTGACGTAGACGGACATGCTGGGGTGCTCGATGAGCAGGTCCTCCATGGGGCTGCTCCCCACGCCGCCGGGGCCAGGCTCCTCTGCAGTAAAACAGGGGGGAGGGGTGACAAACCAACTCTCGTCCATCAAGCAGGGACCGGCCGGAGCCGGGGAAGCGGCCGGCGGCGGCCCGGGGGGTGTCGGGCGGGATCGCGCCAAGCGCCCGGTACCGCCAGCACCCACTC